AAAACTCATGAAACAGGCCTGGACAGAAAGGATGGTACCCCTGAAAATAATGTGACCCAAGGGCCATGTTGTGTCCACTAATGAGCATCACAGGTGTCTACAGTCCTGTAATCAGTCAGTGGGCCTGTATATAGGACTACAGATACTCACTGTGCTGTTTGGTGACATGGTGTGAACCACACTCAACAAGGACCAGAGGAAGACAAGGAAAGAGTTGTCTCAGGAGGTTAGAAAGAAAATTAGACAAGCATGTTAAAGGTAAAGGTTATAAGACCATCTCCAAGCAGTTTGATGTTCCTATGACTACAGGTGCACAAATTATTCAGAAATTTAAGATTCATGGGACTGTAGCAAACCTCCCTGGACGTGGCCGCAGGAGGAAAATTGATGACAAATCAAAGAGACGGATATTATGAATGATAACAAAAGAGCCCAGAAAAACTTCTAAAGAGATTAAAGGTGAACTTCAAGATCAAGGAACATCAGTGTCAGATCACAACATCCATCATTATTTGAGCCAAAGCGGACTTATTGGGAGATGACCAAGGAYGACACCAAATTATAAAAACACCAAACTACATGTTGACAAGCCACAAAGCTTCTGGGACAAAGTCCTCTGGACAGATGAGACAAACATGGAACTTTTTATCAAGACACATCAGCTCTATGTTCACAGAAGGGAAAATGAAGCATATGAAGAAAAGAGCACTGTCCCTACTGTGAAACATGGAGGAGGTCTTTTATATTCTGGGCTGCTTTGTTGCATCTGGCACAGGTGGTCTTGAATCTGTGCAGGGTACAAGGAAATCTCAAGACTATCAAGGGTTTCTAGAGATGAATATGGTGCCCAATGTCAGACAGCCTAGTCATACAGTAGGTCATGGGTCTTCAACAGGAAAATGACCCAAAACAGCTAAAAACACCCAAGAATGGATCAGAACCAAACATTGGACTATTCTGAAGTGTCCTTCTATGAGCCCTGACCTAAATCCTGTTGAGCATCTTTGGAAGGAGCTGAAACATGCCATCTGGAAAAGAAACCCTTCAAACCTGAGACAACTGGAGCAGTTTGCTCATGAGGAGTGGAACAAAATACCTGCTGAGAACTGCTGAAGTCTCACTGACAGTTACAGGAATCATTTGATTGCAGTGGTTGTGCAACAAGATATTAAGTTAAGGGTACCATCATTTCTGTCCAGGTCTGTTTCACGAGTTTTATTATTTTTGAATATTGTTAAAGCATGGCTGAAAAGCAATGTCTGAATTTCATCCATTAATTTGCATAGAATTATTATTTATTACTACTTTGGTCACATTCTATTTATTTCTGTGACCATTGTGGGTTTTTCTTTCATTAAACAAGGGGTACCAACACTTTTGTTCACGTGTGTATCTGTTACAAATAAAAAGAAAAGAAAGAGGCTGTTTTTAAACAGTTAACTTTCAGCCACCTAAAGTTTTGTTTTTACCGTATTCATCTATGTCCCAGGGGTTTCGGCCACCTCGATGCTGTCACGTCCATTGGGGCATCTGGGCTATATGACATGAAAAAAATAAGTGAGTGGGCCAAACAGTCACGACTGGACCCCAATGATCCCAAAAATGTCTCCATCATGCAGCTTCTAAAAGTGAGTCACAAAATCCTTATTTTTCTGGAGATTCACAAAACTGAATCTGATCAGGAATCTTTTTTTTAATGTGTGCTCAGGTAGCCAGCAGTGGAGAGGTGATTGCTCCAGAATACTTTCGTCTGGAACATCTGCAGGAGGAGTTTAACTTTGTGACCGATGAAGAGATGGAGGAATCCAAAAGATTTCGCCTGCTCAGGCTGAGGAACCAAGAAGTCGCAGAGTTTCGCAATTACAAGTTTGTTCCTGCTCTTGAGAGGGAAATTTCTGACAAGGTGTTCCAGGTCAGAGTCAGAGTCTGAAGATTTAACACATCTCAAGGAATCATAAACATAATCGAGTGTTGTTTTGTTGTTGTTGTTGGAATGATTTTAGGATTATCAAAAAAGATTGGAAGACGGAGAGATAGTTGACACCAACGAACATTTGGATCCACACAGAGCTTTGGTGGCCAAATGCCTACAGAAAGTGAGTAAATATATATGATGTAAAAACAAACAACAAAAACCTACAGACCACACTTCAGTACTGATAATACTGTGGTTTTGATTTTGTGTTTTTGATTTTTTTCCTACAGATACGAGAATCGGTCATCAACAGATTTATTCTTGCTAAACATTACTACCAACTGTCTGACTTGGTGGTTGAAGAGGAAATACCGAGCATTGGGTAAATACTCCTCCAGACATGGTTAGGTGACCTGACCTGGATCTGCCATTACTTGTAACTTTAGACATTATTTGATAAACATTTACTTCAACTGTAAAACAAAGACTGTAAAAATACTGTAGGCTGTTTAGTTTTTATACATTAAAAAGTATATAGTCACACAGACGGTACCATTTTATTAATGCTGCAAAGCATACRAGGTAAATGATGACGTTCACTAGGTTTTCCAGCATGAGGCTGTGTGAACTTTATTCACCGTGAAGGTTAATCTTAGATAGTATCTGACTATCAGCTCTTTAATGAAACCAAAACACCATGGCAGAGAGGAGAGTGTAGAAATCACTCAGCCTGCAACTGAAAATGTGGATGAAGGACAATAGAGCTACTTTATGGATGGAGAACCTCAGTTTAGCCTGTTAGCTTTCATGCGTTCATCAAGCTAATACGGCAATATAACATTAGCGCCAGAGTTAACATTGTTAGCTCTGGAACTAACGCCATATATACACTACTAATAAATACAGTATGTGGCTAGTTTGTACATAGCTTATATCCAGGGTTGCACATAAAATTTTTGGTCTGGTTCTCAGGGGAGAACCTAGGGTTGTTGCTTGGTGCGCAC